AACTGAGTAAACCATCTATTTTACACAGCAAAGCTGCGACTTTGGGTGGGATACCCAGGGAATCCTTACAATTTGGTTGGATGACTTTGATAGGGACATACTTACGTGAAGTCTTGGTAGTGCCTGCCGCTTAAATAGCCAGCTTCAGAAGAGCTGCTTTCCATCTATTCACCCTTTCTGGGTTATTCATGAAATCTTTCTCATGTTGTTCAAATGCCTTCTCATAAACTCCGGTCTGCTTTCGAACATGTGAGGGGTCAACTTTGTAGAAGATGGGGATAACAAACTGGCCCTCATCCTTTCTGCACTGCATGATTTGGGCGAGTTCATCCAGGCACCATCTTGAGGAAGCATAGTCTTTTGAGAAGACTATTATAGATACGCTGGAATCCTTGATTGCTTGGATCAGCGATGGTGTGATTTCATTACCTTTCTCTATTTGCTTATCGTCACGAAAGGACAAAATGAATTCTCGTTTGAGAGCAGCATGAAGATGGTTGGTGATGTTGTTGCGGGTATCGCCTCTAAAACTTACAAATACATCATCATACTTCTCGGAGCATTTGGCCTAGAGCCAGATCTTGAGGAAGCAGAAACCACCGTAGTTTTTTTCAGGTGCAGTTCATACGCTCTCTCTACCCCCCTTTCAATAGACTTGAAGCTGCAGCACCCGTGGGACTCTGATTAATCTCCCGAATCTCTGTCTGTCTTCTTTGCTGAGAAATGGCAAAAAGCATGGATGATAGAGTATATGGCAGCCAATAGACTTGACTCAGTTTTAGGTCTTCAGAGCTGAATGACACGGCAACTGATACTCTTTTTATTTATTTGTTTTGTTTGCAACGACACTTTTACTCTGTTCACATTGGAATACATTTCCGATTCTTACCCCCTTTCTTTTATTTCTTTTTTGGCCAGACACCTTTCTTTTATTTCTGGCCTTGGAAAATTTGGACATGCGAATGAAGTAGATACATATTATAGATAATAATTTGAGGAGGATCCAACTGAAAACATCACTATTTTAACATACTTTGAGTAGTATTATTTATGACTCACAAATAGTATTGCTTATGAAGTCTAAGTCTTTGCGGAAGTTGCAAAAGGTTGTACGCAATCAAGGTCCAACCAAATGTGTGGCCTACCTTTAGAAGTTGATATTGATGCTTCAAGCCAATTGCTCTGTTACTTCTCTGCAACTTCTTGTCTTATTAACGTGGCCAGGGGAAATAATAATTAGTCCTTTCATTTTGATTCATATTTCTTTTTCAAAAATAAAGAAGTGTCCAATTTTATCATTATTTAAACTCATTTTATGTAACCTTTAAAAAATGAATTAACATTAAATAATACTCTTACGTCCTTAATATAAGACCTATTTAACTAATTTGATTAGATTAAGAAAGTTAGGTAAGTTAGTTAATTATAGAAATATGACATGTTTTTTTTTAAAAACCATAACATCTATCTTAATATCCTCTCTTCCCTCTTTTACTTGATTATAGTTGAGAAGTATCCAGGGGTAATTTAGGAAAAATTGATAAATATGAGGAATAGGTCTTATATTTAGGATCAAAATCAACTCAATAATTAGATTCTATATTAAGGACCGGAGGAGTAAAATATAAAGAAAAGACTAAAAATTTCTTATTTTATAAAAGGGATCAGAGGCAGTGCTTTGAACTTATTCGCCTTTTCATTTAGATGCAAAAAAAAAAAAAACCAAAGAGTCAGGATATGGGATGTTCCCCGGCACAATCAATCTAGCGGTAACTTTGAATCAAAGTTCAATTGCTAAGCTTTCCATGCAACTCTCACCAACTAACGGTAGGGTTATAGTTGTTAGTTATTCCTGTACTTAATACAAAAGTTATTTTATTAATTTAAGTAGAGAGAAAACCAAATAAATTAGTTAATTATAACAAAGATGATATGATTTTTCTAAAATATCTTTATATAATATTAGATTATATGTTAGTTTATAAGTCAGATAAATTAGTTCAAGGAAAATAATAAATAGGATCAAATTTAAGATTTTACATCTAAAATCAAATCTAACTCCTAACTAATGCTTATATAGGAAAGGGAGAGTAATTGTGAGCGATAATTGGGTCAATTGTGTTTGAAGATGTGTTAAATAATAGGTTCTAATATTTGTTATTTTTTGGACCAAATTAATATCTATTATTTAGAAGTCAAGTTTTTGGTGGAATTGCATGCATTGGCTTCCATTTGAAACTGGTCCATATCCTCACCCGAAAAGTTGTGCATAGAGGGAGAAATAATACTAAAAGAAAAAGCTTTAGAAAGATAGCAAATTTTTTTGTAGTCACATCCAAACTAACCCCTCATTGTTACATTAGACCAGGCAGAAACACACACTATACAAAGATATAAGAACTTGTAGGAAGTTGGAAACACCTTCGAACCATTTCGGGTTTACTCTAAATAGAAAATTTTGTTTTTCTAATAATCAGTAATCTTGAACAGAAGACACAGTTTTTTTGAAGGAGAAAAAACTCTTAATTCGCATATCTTAAATATACATAAATGCTATGTATTGCATGTTTGCAAACTCAATTTTTTTCTCAAAGTATAATTTGATGCTACATGTACTGTAATATGCAAGAGACCTTATTGCCAAATTAAAATACATAAGGTTTAAGAACTGATACACAGGATAATAATGCAAAAGCCCCACTAACACCTAGTGGTAATCTACAAATTAAAGTTGGGTTGGCAAAGTTATAGCTCATTTCGTTCATGCTCTGTTTTCAAGTCTTCACTTAATTTTCATCTTCAAACATCAATATACAAATCAGAGTCAATGTAATTATATTCAAAACTTTAATCTACTAAAACTCACTTTGAAGGAGTAAGAGCTCACGCTCTGTTTTGTTTACTCTGTTTTCATCCACAGACACCAACATGCTCACCCGTTAAAAGCAACTTGCCTTTTTCACCTGCCAAAATTTACATTGATATGGAGTTTATAAAATCTTCATTTCTCCTGTAACGGAATTACTCCAAGCGGATGTGCTGATTATTCTTGTAGATGATCCGGTATTTCTATTTGTTATAAGGAAGTGAACTTTGAGTTTTTTTTTCTGATTTTTGTAAACTATCCTATTTAATCATATATATATTGGAACTACCTATAATGGAATCCTTTACCCTCAATAGGAATATTTTAGAGAAAAACTATAAATTTAAAAAACAAAGTAAATTAAAGTTTTATATTTAAGGTCAAACAAAGCGAATATAATAATTCCATGATGATTAAAGTATATATTTAATGGAATCCTTTACCCTCAATAGGAATATTTTGGTGAAAAATGATAAATTTGAAAAACAAAATAAATTAAAATTTTATATTTAATATAAAACAAAATGGATATAATAATTCCATGATGATTTTCGGTAACATTTTATAGAAAAAATTTCAGAAAAAGAATCCTAAAATTAGTATTTTTCCAATTTAGACACCTAACATTTCAAAATGAAAGTAGACCCAAATTGAAATTTTGAAATTCAAGAAAAATAATAAAAATGTCCCTTTGTAAATAACAATCCATCTGGGAATAATAAGTCCTGACTATGAAATAATAAGTCTTGATTTGTGATTAACATGTCTGTTCCTGATAAATAACATATGAAATAACATGTGAATCAATAAAGAATAACAATAATCTATTTGAGAATAACAAGTTCTGATTGTAAAATTATAAATCTCAATTTAGGATTAACAATACTTTTTTTTTCTAGTACATAACATGTGAATCAATTAATAATAACAACAATTTATTTGAAAATAATAAGTCTTGATTATGAAATTATAAGTCTTGATTTGGGATTAACAACACAGTTTTTCAATAAAATTACCAAAGAGATGTTTTGTCATTTCTCTTAAATTTTAAAATTTTAATTTGGATTTATTTCATTCTCTGTTTTTTTTTGAAGTGTTATATACTTGAATTGAAAAATACTAATTTCAACTTTTTTCCCTCAAATTTTTCTTATTTTATATATTATACATAGCATATTAGTCGAAAAGCCTAAGGTTGTACCTTCAATTGTAGGGTCCATTGCGTCTAGATGCGTGCTGCTTCATGCCAACTGCACTGTTACTTCTCGGCAACCCCCCCCTACTTAACGTAGCTAAGTCGAACGTTTCATCAAAATTCAATTGCTGTCAACTTCCACCCTTGGATGGCAGGGTCATTGTTTTTAGTAACTTATATTCTTTAATATATATATAATATAAAAACTACTTAATTAATTTAAACATATTTAAAAAAAATTAATTAATTACAATAAATATGACATAATTTTTTAAAATATTTTTATAGAGCATTAGATTATATATTAATTTATAGTATAAATAATTAGTTTGAGAAAAATGATAAATATGATAAACAGATTAAGATTTTATATTTAAAACCAAATTTCACCCTCAATGAATCAATTAGTTCTTATATCAAGAGTTGAACAGATTAATTGTTAGTGATGATAGGCTCAATTTTATTTGAAAGCAAGTTAATTGATGGGCTCTAATATTTGTTATTTTTTGGACCAAATGAATACATATTATTTAGAAGTCTTTGGCAGCATTGCTTGCATTGGCCTTCATATTAAATTGATCCATATCCTCACCACAAAAGTTGTGCATAGAAGGAGGAATAAATGACCCTTAAAACTTTAGCTTAGTTTGGATGTGAAGGAAAATAAAAAGAAAAGAATATTACGAAGGGAAATCCCAAAAAAGAAGAAGTAATTTTCTAATTATTTTTAGAAGTTTTTTTCATAGTATTTTCTTCCCTTATTAGTTTTTTTAACCATTTTTTCCTTCATACAAACCAAACCTGTGTTATAGTAGACTAGATAATATAAACTATATAAGGACATAGGAACTTGTAGGAAGTTGAGAACTCCTCAGAACCATGTCAGATTTCCTCTAAGTAGAAAAATTAAAGTGTTCTTCTAATTATCAGCAATCACGAAAACAAGACACAGTTTTTTCTTAAACTCTCAAATTTACATAAATGCTATTATGAATCAAGTATTTATACTCATTTGAAATTAAGCTGTAGCGTTGGGCCCTGACTTATCAATGAATTGCGCAGTCATTGCCAATTCATGACTTGATCTGTAATTATGTTTATTGTGATTCATTATTCAGTTATTACTAGTATGCTGTTTGCTATTATCTGCAGCTGAGGTCACATTAATTGAGAACAATGTCGTTATATACGAGTTTGTACAAGACTTGCATTTCTTCGTCACCGGTGGTGATGATGAAAATGAGCTCATTTTGGCTTCGGTTCTTCAGGGTTTCTTTGATGCAGTCACCTATTTGTTGAGGTATTATAGGTTATATTTTGCTTTCAACAATTGAAATAAGAGTGCCTTGTTGCTCATGTTATTCAATATTTAAAATGAGCTCTTTTTTAAATTTCAAATTTCAGGAGCAACGTTGACAAAAGGGAGCCGCTTGAGAACTTGGATCTAATTCTTTTATGTCTTGATGAGATTGTTGATGGAGGGTATGCTTGTGTTTCTTAGTTAGAATTTTTCGTTCTCATTAAAATTCTAATTATTTTCTGATTACCCTGTTACCGTCTTCCTTTAAGGATGATACTTGAAACAAATGGATCTATTATTGCCGAAAAGGTTACCTCTCATAGCATTGATGCTGACGCTCCCTTATCTGAGCAGATAACGTGATTGCAGTTTAGTTTTTGTCCTTGCTTCCTATTTCATTTTACTCCGCAAAGTCACATGAGTCGCCATATAGACTGGAGGTTGCTAAATTATTACACTTTGGTGTTACGCAATTCTCAAACTGCCTTTTTTTTAATTGAATTCACATTTTGGCGAGCTATGTTTCATTGTGCACTAGTCATTCTTGACTTGTGATGTGCTGAAAAATCTTGGATGTTGATGACCGAATATCTTTGATCTTCAATCTAATGGTGAGATTCTGATATTGCAGACATTAACTCAAGCATGGGCTACAGCTAGAGAACATTTGACAAGAACCCTTCTGAAATGATGTTTACAAGAACAGGAGTGGGTTTATCCATATTTGGATTGTCTTAGTTTTTCTTTGTTAGCGACAGTTTTTTTGTCCAATTTGTTGAGCTTGAGACTGGAGGATCATACCATTCCGGCGACTCCACTGATCGAAGATTCTCGAGAAGTGATTTATTACTTTTCTCTAAAATATGTTTAAAATTATGTGCTTATTTGAGAGCATAATCAATTTTATGATGAAAGAAACCCGGTTCGTGATTGCATGTAGTTTAAAGGATTCTACGTGTCAATTTCACTTCGTAGTCTTTGATCGAATATAATATTGTATTATGATGCATATGCCTGAAATTTGTACCAAGGATTTCTAATTTGATTATGGAGTATGTGAAGCTGAAATATTTCCAGATTGATATGTGATGGCAAATACTAAGAGCTAAGAAAGCAGTTAATATCTAAAGGATATGCACGTTGTCGTTGCATGATCTTTGTCTTGAGGAGAATAAAACTAGTGACATTTTATTGTGGTCCAATATGATTTCGTGTTGCTGGTCTAACAAAAGGAATCGTTGAGGATCGACTGAGTTCATTTATTTTGCCGCTTGGTTGGTAGTTAGGGAATGAAAGAATGATGTTTGTTTTAGATTCTTTTCTCTGGAGAAGGTGAGGACAAGGAATGCAAGTTTGTTAAGTGGAGGTCCATATTCTTGCCATAAAAGAATGTTGATTGGCCTTGAATGGAAATATCAAGAATCGTTCATCCACTTGCCCGCGACGTCCCAAATACAAAATGTAAACTTATTGGAGACTCAAACTGCAATATGCGGTGATTAGGTTCCATCTACTAACTATTGTTATTGGGAGAATTGCACGCTATTAGGTTTCCAGCAAGAGATTTAATTATTTTAAAATCCTAATGACAAGTGAACAACATAAACTAGTTTATCAACAAAATTTAGGATAATTAAATCACTTTTTTGAAATTTGATTGCAATCCCCCCCTTGTTATTTTGGTTAGTAGTTTTATAAAACTGATTTGTAGCTAGCGTGAACAACTGCCTCTTGTCTTAACTCCAGTAAATCAAAATCCATTAAGAATCGTCCTTAGCCTGGAAAGGTATGATTGAAGAATCTTTTCTTTTTGGTTGTCGCTTTGGCAATTATTTTCTATAAATTATTTAGTGTGAATAGTGTTGTAAATGATCAGATCATAATAATTCAATATTTGATCGAGATTGTATAACAGTCACTCCAATCTTGAAAATCAACTATCATCAAACTATCAACTATTAATTATCAATAATTAACTATCAACTATACTCTTAAAACTTATAATACTGATTCGTTTGAAAGATTTAAATTTAAATTAATTTTGAATGTGAATAATTTAATTAGAATTTGAATATATTAAATTAAAGGTTAAATCATACATTTAGTCTTTTAATTTTATACAAGGTTTTAATTTAATTTCTTACTTTTCAAAAGCATAAACTTGGTCCTTTAACCCTAGAGTTGTTAGGTTTAAATGATAATTTTTCATCACAATCATGATTATTTCAAAAATTAAAACTAATCTATGAGCATTGAGAATGTTTTATCAAGAATTAAGATCTCAATATCATCATTTTTTGTTAATAATTTTAGAGCTAAAGGACTAAAAGTATATTTTTTTAAAGTTAAGGAACTAAATTGAAACTCTTTATAAAGTTAAAGGATTAAATTTATACGTTAACATAATTGAATAGGGAGTATCATTATTAAATGAAATTTAAATTGGAGACTCAAATGAAGAAACTAATAATTAATTTTGGATTTGAATAATATTTTAATTGGGAAATTTAAATATGTTAAATTAAATGAGGAGCATCATAATTAAATAGTAAGTCAATTGGAGTCTTAAATAAAAAATAAATAAATAATTTTAAATTTTCATCTATTCCCCTTAAACTTCACATATCTAATTCAAATTCCATTTGAATAAATAAAAAAATTGATACTGTGAGAAGTAAATGTTGAGCTACTTTAGATAATACAATTTATTAAAATTTCAAATATATTAGTCTGTGGGGGAGAAATTTTTAGTTAGTTTAAGAAATCTATTAAAATTAGTTGAAACCAATAAATACGTAAAAAATAACACTTTTTTTTCCAAATATGTCTTTATTTATAAAAGGGTCAAGGATGAAAAAGAGAAAAAGTGAACAAAAAGAGAGAGAGAATGCATGAAAAGAAAAGATAACAAGAGATAATAGAATTAATTAGGAATAAAATTTGTCAAAAAATACATTTAATGTTCATGCAATCTCAAGGCCAAAAAAATGTTCATACAATTCCAGACTGCATTTTATAAAAAAAGACCAAACCAACTCAAAAATTAAGACTAATCATATTAATTAATTATTTTCTCACGCATAACAAAGCAGTATAACCTGTAATCCTTATAACAAACGGGAATTTAAAATTTACAACAATTACACACACCACATGCTTGTCATAAAATACCCCTGAATAGAATTTCTCAGGTCAGGCTACATTCTCCAGCATGTTATTGACCATTTAATAAATATGACCGACTTTCAACGAAATGTGAGAAACAGTAACTTGTTACTTCTGGTCTCTGCCTATTTTTCGTATTGTTTTAATAACTGGACATCACAATCAGTGTCTCTTGTATCAAGATCTGCAATTTAACTTAATAACAAATTGAAGATCATTTTCAAATTACAAACTCACACGCACCCATCCTGGTTTCAGTACATAACTTCCTAAAAGCAGAGAGAAAAAGAAAGCAAGCATAACAAAGTGAAGAAAGCAATTATTTTGACAGAAAACAGAAGAAATTCCAACTCATCAGACTTAACCTTTTAATGTCTGACATCACTTTTCTTTTATGTCCAACAACAGTATGAATACGTTTTCCCATTAAGCAGCAGCATCTGTCGGTTTTTACTGTCAGCTAAATACATGTCAAACTGCAAAGATGAAAGAATATGACACTATCAGTTAATAAACTTTTTTGGGTATAACATTAGTGATATTAATGATTGAATATAGGGTTTGCATCAGAAAGAAGATATGCAACTAAAAATCAATTTCAGGAATTTAATTTTCTTGGTTACCCTCAAATCTCGGCTTGCAGCAATCTGCATTTGATGTGATAGTAATTAGCACATTGCCCATCATTTGATCAGTACTTAGTTTTGAAATCCAGAGGAAATGAAAGCTTCACTGCCTCACCACAATTTACACCTACAAATACGAGGGGCTAAATCATGAAGACTCTTTCCTTAGCCTCTGTTGACTGTCGCAGAAGTTGAATTATTTTGTAAGTAGTCAGAAATCTAGGAAAATAGAAGGATTCTAAAAAATAGTTTCGTTCTTAAATATAATCATCTTAAGATTTGGTTGGTTATTCCATTCAACGCTTTTTTTATTTTTAATTACGGTATCTAACGAAACCAGGCCATGCATATATTGCAAAGCAACACGTGTTTATTTAAAAGCATCATCTATATTTTCCTGGGGTAGCTACGGTATACCAATGTCAAACTTAATTAACGAAATGTAAAAGAGAGATACATACCGATCAAGTAATGGATTGTAGGTAGTTTATTTGTGATAAGTGTGTTTCTCTGTAGATTCCAAATTCAATTGGGACAGCATAAGTAGCAACTCATCAGCATAATGAGATATCTTGGACTCAGAATTCAGGGGAATAGATTGAATGACATCTATATAAGAGTCCTTCAATTTCTTTGTTGAAGGGAGTCGATTTTGGTCATCATCAATATTATGATGCCTCTTTTTTGGCATACTTACCTCCACTTTCTTTTGTTGCAGGAAGTTTGTATACTCTGAGACATATATAGGCCGTACTCCACATTCTTTGAACAAGCAATCACGAATATAAAGCCCCCATTCATGGATCTCGCCTTCACCAAACTCAAATTTAAATTCAAGCTCCTCATTATAACCTTTTCCCTTTGTTCGCAGTTTGTGTAGTATGTGTTCACAATAGAGGGGATCATACCATAGAAACACATTAGCATATGAATTCAATTTTTCCATTGAATAGTGCCATCCTGTTGGACCTTGCAAAGAGAAGCGAAATTCTTCCCCGTCAAAACAATTGCATCCACATGATGAGTGATATTGATCCCTTTCTTTTGAGGAGAAGTGAGGTATGACAAAGCAGAAAATGAAACCTATTAAGTTTTTAAAATCTGGAGCAACCTGAACACTCACACTCCGAATACTATGCTCTGTCATTGAACTTTTGTAAGTAAACCACTCTGGAATAGTACTTCCTTCAAAATTGCCACATTCCCCTTGCTTTAATGAGAATCTAACATATTGGAGCATTTCATGAAATGAATTCTCATCAGCATAGTGACAGGACTCTTTTTGGGTACCCAAGTTTGGCTCCCGTCCCATTTGTTGAATGAAGTCGTGATATTTCGAGGCATATATTGGACAGACTCCACATGCTTCAATCACACAATCAACAAGCTCCTCTTCAAAGTTGGCAACAGAGAATTCAAATGACACCTTTGGCCTGTAATTGGCATTTTGGTTGTCCGTTGCTTTGTGGAACTTTATGAATCGGCGAGGATCACACCACCAAAAAACATGACGTGATTCCGAATTTTCACCACCACAAAAGTCCAAAATTTCACGTGCACAAGAATCAAACTCTGAGTTGTCGCACCGCTTACCATCATAATAAATTTGCAATTGCACGCCAACGTTATAGGAATGTCGAGAAAGAATACAGCAAAAGATGAAGCCGATCAGGTCATTTATGGCTGAAGGAGACTCAATAGTTATACAGTTGGAAGCCTCTGTTCTCCCATTAGATCCAAACCACTTTGGAACTTTTATTCCAGGGTAACAGACAGCACCGCCTTGGTTTGTGTACGCCAATCGCTTCAATGAGAAATAAGTACTTTCTGCCACATGAGACAGAAAGCAGTTCTCCAATTTCAAGCACTCTCTCAGATGTAGCAACTTCAATTGTGGTGCAAAAGGTATTGAAATGGGTACAATCTCCAATGATATGCAACCACGAGCGACGACGGTTTCTATGGATGGCGGCAGTTCTGGCAGAGAACGAAGTCTTGTACAATTGGTCAAGCGTATTTTTACTAGATTTGAGAGATACTTGATACTAGCAGGCAAGCTCGCTACAATACTTCGACTCAAATCCAGTGAAGACAATGAAGATAAGGAGCCAATGCTTTCAGGGAGTTCACACAACTGTTCATAACCACAAAGAAAAAGAACTCGAAGATTTTGGAGATAACTAGCTGAGGAACGGAATGCTGGACCCAACATTTTTTCATCTGCCAACAATGGAGATCGAAGGAATTGTAGCGTCTTTAATGATGTGCAGCTGGTGGCATATAATTCTTCAATGGATGGAGGAAGCTCTGGTAAAGATTGAAGGTGTCTGCAACCGCTTACATCAAGAGAGTGTAGCCTCGAGAGATGCTTGATATTGTCTGGAAGTTCCGTTAATGTGAATGACTCTCTCAAAGAAAGTGATACCAGATATCGCAAAGCATCAAATAAGCTATGGAGCTTTGATTTGTCAATCATTCCCGTGCAACGTTCAAGACGAAGGTGGTTAAGAGATCTCATGCAACAAATGTCGTTAGTTGGAAGATTCTTTAGTTTCAAACCATTAAGAGAGAGACGCCGAAGGTTCTCCATATGCCCCATTGAAAAGTCTATATTCTCGACTGTTGAGGTCCATAAATCTAAATAAGTAAGTTTGTCCGAAGAGAATGAAAATTCCTTGAGACCATAGCAACCAGCCACCTGTAGTTTCAAGAGCGATTTTGATTGACTCTCTGTTTTCAAACTCTTTAGGTTTTGGCAAAGCTCAAGATCCACATACTTCAATCTCGAAAGAGATAAAATGGATGGATGAAGATGGCATAAACTTTTACAGCGTCCAAGATCAACCCGTTCAAGTGTTTTAGCTGTTGACAAATCTGGCAACTCTATCAATTTTTTGGATTCCCGAAGGTTTATCTCCCTTAAATTCACCAAGTCCTGCAACAATTAAAAAGAGAAATATTACACAGGAATCAAGAGTCTTAAATTTGAATCAAATTGTAAAAAGAGAAAAGTTATAAGACTCATATTTGTATGTTATACCTGCTTGCCATCCCATAGTTTTTGAAGGCTGCTGTTAGGCATGTGAAGTTGAACTAGCTTCTCGGCACAGAATGACAATGGTAAAGACTTTAAAGGAAAATTGTCCCATCGAAGATACCGTAATAAATTAGGAAATGATTCAAACGTTGGAGGAAGATTCACAATACACGACCTCCCATGGTTGGATGAATAGAGTTCCAAAGGGGTTAAATTTGTCCTCCCATGGTTGGATGAATAGAGTTCCAAAAACCTTAAATTTGTCATCTTTCCAAAGGCATCAGCACAGAATTGTAATTCCTTAATTTGAGACAAATCTAAACTTATGCCTTGAATTGCATCACTTCCCTGGACAACATAAAAGCCAAAAAGAAAATAAATAAATTGCTTTATATTAACAATTTCTTTTCATTCGTTTTCAAATGTTTAATTAGAAAAAGGTAAATATTTTTCTTACTCGATTATTTTTTAGGACGTCGATGATCTCATCAGAATTCCGTAGTCGACTACGTCCTCCTGGATTCTTGCACTCTTTGCGAACAATTTCGAAGGCCATTGATTGAATTAAATCATGCATCCATACCGCATCATGACTAAGACTTATCAACGCCCTATCCACAAGAATTCCCAAACCAATGCTTGCGTGAAAGCCAAAGCTCTTTAGCATTGCTTCTACATATTGTCCAGATCTACCTTTAAAAAAAAAAGCAATGTCTAAAAATATCTCCTTCACTTCGTCATCGAGTCCATCATAGCTCAATTTTAACACATCTTGAATATCTTCATTGGCCCTCCTTTCTAATTTACTCAACTCATCTTCCCATTGATTTGCAGGTCTGGAATGCAAAAGCGAACCCAAAACGGTTAAGGCCAGTGGGATGCCTTTGGGATAAGCAAGTGCTCTTTTAATTGGTTGTTCGTATTCACTTTCATAACCATCTTTGTGGAAGGCTTTGAGGTTGAAAAGCTCAAGTGAATTGTTGTCGCTCAATGCCTTGGCCTCATGTATTTTATCAACTCTTCCAACAATAAGCACATGCTTATCTCTACTTGTTATGATGATTTTACTACCAGGTCCGAAATGAGGAACTTCACTCTTCAACTCCTCTAACTGCTTTGTCTTGCTAACATCATCAAGTACAATCAAAACTTTTCTACGATTGAGCCTCCCAAGAGATGTATCCTTTGATAGTTCTCGGAAAAGTTCGTCACGTACATATTCTAACCCATGCTTTTTGTACTTTTCTGTAAAATTTTTCAAGAAGCAGCAACTATCAAATTGAGAGCGGAGCTTGGCAAACACAACCTTAGCCATTGTTGTTTTGCCTATCCCGCCCATCCCCCAAATCCCAATTGTTGAGGATTCTTCTAACAACCACTCAATATGATCTAAATTCTCATCAATTCCAATAATATTTTCTAATACAGTTGTTGGGGACCCACGGTTTAGTTTTTTGTTGATGTCCGTGACAATATTTTGAATGAGTTCTGCTTCATGCCTGATATAAGAAAAAGAATTGTGGAAGAAAGTATTAATGCATCAAATGAAAATTAATTAAAAAAATGTATTAAATAAAGTGACAACTAATTGATGGCAGTTCATTTTACATGACAATATTATTATTTTGAAAAAAATGATAAATTTCTTCAAAGTTTTATCGAAATTGTGTGGATATTTTTCCTCCATTTTCAAAATTAGTGAGAAGGATTCATTCCAACGTAAGAAATGTATACATAATTTACTCTACCATATGAGTTATTCGTAGTGACAATTAATTCAAAGAAAGGTTACATTGAACAGTTTTTTTTTAAAAAAAAAAAACTTTCATCTGACAGGAGGAAAAAGAAAAAAAGAAAAAAAAACTTTCATCTGATAGGGGAAAAGAAGAAAAATATTTAAAAAAATCAACTTTCAGAGCTCAAGTATCCAAGTTTGAGATGACACCATTTAAATAATGTTTTTTCCCATGTAAACACAATAATTTAAAGAAATTAAGCTTATATGTCATATATACACAAGTATTGCAGAACATGATCCAACATCATTATTCACTGCCAGTTAATTAGTTGTCGGATAAGCTAATATGGAAAGAAAAAGGAAATTTATATGAATATGAAGACCGATCACAATAATAAGAAAAAGTATGAACTCTGATTCAGATATTTGGAGTTAGAGAATGAAGAGTGACCTATACTTGCAGGAGTCCCATCCTGCTAGATTTGCAATCTCAAAAAGTGCTTGTCTCCACTCCTCCACCTTCTCTGAGTTTTTCTCCAAATGTTCTGCGAATGCTTTCTCATAAGTTGCCTTTTGTCTGCGTACATTAGATGGGTCAATTTTGTAGAAGATAGGAACAACAATCTGTGCCTGATGTTGTTTGCAGCGAAGGATCTCAAGGAGCTCATTCAAACACCATTTTGAAGTGGCATAGTTTTTAGATAAAACCACCACAGAGATGGATGAATCATGAATTGCTTCAATGAGTGATTGGGAGATGTCATCGCCCTTTGGGAGCTCATAATCAATGTATGTCTCAATATCTCTGAGGCACAAGGCAGTATGGAGATGGCTGGTGAAGGATCTGCGAGTGTCCTCTCCTCTGAAACTCAGAAACACATCATATTTCTTGGAAGAAGAAGATGATGATGGGGAAGCTATGGCAAACATGGTATTCTGATTACTCTCTTGGATCTCTCTCTGTATTCTTTGCTGAGAAATGGCAAAAGTGAACTGGTGATGGAGTATGTATGGCATAGGCTAGACTTTATTCACTTTTTCAAGTCTCCAAAGCCAAATGACATGGTAACTGATACTTTTACCCTTTTCACATTGGAATTAATAACAAATTTCATTTCCATCCTAACCCCCATACCTTTCTTTTGGCGACAAAAAGCAGGGTCCATTGCGTGTGAATTACGTTGTCCGTCCCTCATACGATGAATTACAGGGAAAGGTCGTACCCTCAATGGTAGGGTCCATTGCGTGTGAATGAGTGTAAGTTGCGTAACTTTTTCGCATGTGAATGGTTTGTACGTAAAAGATGATGTTGCTGCTTCAAGCCAATTGCTTTGTTACTGTTCGGCAGCTTCCCCCTACTTAACGGAGCTAGGCGGAACGCAATTGCTCTCAACTTTCACATGTTCGTGTTAGGGACATTGTTGTTACTGACTTAAAACTGGAAGAATTAATTTATTTGTATGGTCATTGGCACTTTTACAAGCGTGAAAAAACATATGATATTTGGCACACTTTGATTAAAAGTTTATAAGTATTTTGTATCTTTGCCTTTTTTTTTTTGAATTAGCAGCATTTTGATACTTTCATAGCATTAGCGTGGGTGAAATCATTTTTTCTCTGGTCTTGCAAGTTTTTATGTATTTTTGCACTTATGAAAAGATTATAATGATGAGTATACTTTGAGTAAAAATTTATAGGTATCTTGGCACGTTCACCATTTTAAGTATAATATAACATTATGACTTTTGTGAATTTTTGAAACACACTCTTTTATTTTTGAGCTTTTCTCAATCTGGTTTCAGATTTTACATAGAGTGACTTCTATTTGTTTGTTTTTGCTCATTACTTATCTTGACTTTATGTTCGTTTTTGTTGGTTTAATTTAACTTGAAATGGGTTTGCGTGCTAAACGGATTGATAGAAACTAATGATTTACTAGATCGGTCTAAATCTAATTTGAATTGGAAGAATATTTTAATTTTAAATATAAAAATTCAGTTTACATTATCTTTGAATTTTATAATTAAAGGAGGAGATTTCTATTAATGTGGTGGTTTTTAATATAAATTATTAAAGGAGTATTTAGGTAAACCCACAAATATTTTTTGGAAATAATTAATAAAATTACCTAACTCCTATATTGAAAATTGGAGGGAGTATATGTTATTTTTTGGGGCACATTAATTATGAAGTCAAGTCTTTGGGAGCATCACATTTTCATGAAAGCTCCTTCCGGTTTTTAAAAAAAAAAGAGAGAGAGAGAAGAAAGCTTCTCCGTAACTAAGGTCCAACAAAATGTGTGGCCTACGCTGAAAAGTTGATGCTGATGCGCTCATACCAACTGCTTTCCTATTTCACTGCAACTTTCACCAATTAATAGTAGGGTCAGAATTTTAGCTGTCAGAGATGATAGTAGGATCAATTGTGTTTGAAAGCGTGTTAAATACCCTCATCCCTTTTTATAAATAACCTTAGAACTCATCACGAAGATTAAAATATTGGTTAAAATTAATTAAAAACAATAAATATGTAAAAATTAAAATTTTTTTTATTAAAATGTCCTTATTTATGGGAAGAGAGAGAGTATAAAAGAGAGAATAAAATTATTATAATAAAGAGAATTATGAAAGAGAGAGAATGTGTGATGAAAAGATAATGGTTTAGGAAATGAGATTATAAATATATTGAGTATTAAAATAAGTAATTAATGAGGAAAAAAATGAAAAATTCAATACAAAAATTTAAAACAACTTGTAAAAGTTGCATATATTTAGAAACAAAAAGCAGATAGTAATTGTTGCTTATAAAATGGGACAGAGAGAGTAATGTTATAATTAATTTCTGTTACTTTTTGAGCCAAAACAATGTCTGTTATTTAGAACTCAAGTCTTTGGCAGAATTGCATGGTTGGCCTCCATACTAAAGTGGAGCATATCCTAATTGGAAAAGTTGTGAAGAGGGGGAAGAATAAATGAACCGTCATGAACTATTAGGCCAAGTAATTGGACTAATGGTATACACTATACAATAATGTACAAACCTGTGGGAAGTTGAAAACTCCTTGAAACTATTTTGGGCTTACTTTAAATGTAAAATTAAAGTGTGTTTTTAATTGTCAGCAATCCTAAAAATAAGACAGTCTCGTTGGGGAAAAAAACAACTCATAATTCACATGTATTAAGGGGGTGTTTGGCAAAACCAAAACCTAAGTTTCAGAATCACTTTTCCGCAAAACGAGGTAACCTCCTCCACATATTTGCTTCGTAATCCGTAAAAGCACTTCTGAAACCATGGTTTGGTTTCTATCCAAACACCCCCTAAATATACAATAAATACTATGCATTGCAAGTTTGAAAACTCCATTTTTTTTTTGGTCCTTGAAGTGTATTCTGATGCTGCATATACCGTAACGAATTGGAATATGTAAGAGACCCAATGTGTAAGAGACCATTTTGCCAAACTGAAATGCATAAAGTTTGAGAACCGACACACCGACCAATAATGCAAGAGCCCGAGCCTGAAGAAGTAGAAGCCATTGCTGTTTGTTTCAAAGTGCAGAAATAACAGTTTACGCACAATGGTGATGACGGACATAGTCTTTGTGGAATCGCCCGTTTAGTATGTCAGTTAAATTCAGTTCTGTGAAAAAGCGGAGTATCCAATGTACACAATTATTAAAAATGACAGAATATCGTTGGATAAAAACCAAAATATAATTTTAAAAGTATTTTTATAATTTACAAAATAAATATGTGAAGGAATTTGCTTCATTTTATAAAAAAAATACTTTTTAAAAGCATTTTTAACAGTTACCAAACACCTCCTAATACACTGAACAAAGCAACTTTAATTCGGTGGAAATTTTGAATCAAAATTTAATGGCACTGTTCTTTCCCTCACTGCTAACTCATGGTGGGGTCACGTTGTTAATGTCAATGACGCTACTTCTACTCATGGTAGGTACAAACAATGGAGTGACGGGCCCAATATGGTGCTCCATAACCACGCGAGGTTTGTACGGTTTAAATATAATTTCATTAGCCAGTATTTAGAATGTTTAACTCATAATTTTTAAATAAAAAGCTGTTTTTTTTATAAAACTGATTTAAAAAAATATCTTTATTTTTAATTCTGTATAAATCAAAATATTTTTTTAAAAAATAAAAGTGAAAAGAAATGGATCTGACAGTCCAGATTACCGAAACTCATTTCTAGGGTCAATTGCGTTGGAAAGTGAAAGCTTGCTAAAGGACACTCTTTCCTTTCTTTTTATACGAGACAACAACCACTTCTATCTTGTTTTATTTATATGAATCAATAAAATGTATTGTTTTTTACGAGTCAAATATTACTAAAATCTATTATAAAGTATAGGAATCAAATCTGATTTTAGATTTAGTAATTTCAATATTCTTTTTGTAACATTCTTCCCAATAATTACTCTTTCTATTTTTTAGAGTATTTTCATCATTAACATTGAAATTAAGAAAAGCTTAAAATTCCTTTTTTTTTTTGGAAAAAAAATCGAAGAAGCATCCAATTTTATCATTATTACTCATTTGGTGTAATTTCGAAAAAATAACTAATTTTAAATTAAAGATAATATGAGAATAACATAATAAATACCTTGAGCTTATTAATGCTTTAATCTAGACACAAAAATCACGATATAACATATTCCCTCGTACAATCAATTCACGTCTTGTTTGAATTTTGGAAGGGGACGGGTTACTTTAAAAACAGTTGTTCAATCTTAATTTATAAAATAAGAAATAAGTATGTAAAGAAATTTTGTCTTGATTTATATAAACATTTTTATGAGTATTTATCATAAGTGAAAAAATTGTCACAACTTTAAAACAATAAACAACTTAACTAATTGTTTTTAATATTTACAAATTAGTTATTTAAACCAAAATTGTCAAACTCATAAATCTAAAAAAACTCGTGATAAAAATATAAACTTGAAGAGTAAGAGTTTACCTTTATTAATAAGTTAATATTTAAAATATATAATAAATAATTAAAATATAAAAAATAACAACAATTCTCTTTAAATATATTTTGAATCCAAATAAGTAAAATTAAAGTCATCAAACTCCAAAAATCAACTTGCGAGTTTAACAACAATGATTTAATTCTTATATTAAGAATCGAATATAATAATATTTTGACTGAAAGTTTTTTAATATTTTATTCAGTCTTTAATATAAAACCTACTTTATACTATAATTTTTATTACAAAACAGGTTTTATATTAATAATAGGAGGAGTAGCATTTTTTTCCTAATATTTTTCTCCATCCAACACCGGCTCATCATCTACAAGAACAAATTCCCACAGGAACCGGACAACCGAAACAGCCAACTGTACGGCTCCCCCGCCCCGGGGGGCCTGTCCCGCGCAAGCATTATGATTTTGTGAAGACTGAAGAGGCCTTACCCACCTTTGCCCCCACCCGGTAAGTCTGTAACGGCTATGTTTTACTGCATCCACTTGGGGTCAAAAAAAAAAATTGTGCTAGATGGTAAAATCATTTTAGTTATGTTGGACATTCTAGTTAAAACTTATTATTTTTAAATAAATTAGTATTATTTTTAATTTATTCATATTTTATTTTACATTATGTATTAAAAAAATGTCTTATTAATCTCAAGTTTAAATTTTTTATTTTCTAGTCAAGACTTGTTATTTTCAGATAAATTGTTGTCAAACCAGAGTAAAAGAGTTAATTTATATTATTTTTTGTATTATAATATTAAGAAATTATTTGTGGCTCAATAGACACTTTTTTTTTGTTGGTTCAAATATTTACGAGGTAGTGAGATCAAATCTCACCCCATCGCTTTTTTCAAATAATTTATCATGACCAAAAAATTTTTTTTTTGTTTGTTTCCGGTTATTACTTATGTTCAATTTAACGTGAAATG